CTGCCGTTAAAAAGATTAGGCAGTAAATAGAAAAGGTTAAAATTTATTACTTAAAAGAATCTAGAAGTAGAAGAAGAAACAACTGCTTATAGATGGTTTCGGAATCAGACGAACCCAAACTCGAATTTGCTCAGGACGATGGCCCGTTGGGGTCCGCACGTTAACGTCATTTGTGTCATCGTTATTCCTATTCTGCTTGTTGCTATCTCAAACGCTATGCTCATTTACACAATTAGACAAAGGTTTGTCATAAAGTTGACATATCACTCAGTAAAACTCGTTCCTAACAGATGTTGATGTCTCAGACGACTGATCTGACCAGTCACAAAGGCTCATGGTCTCTAAGAACACAACGAAAAGTCTAGGTCATATGTGCATCTGTTGTACCTCTACTATTACTAGTTATCGAGTTGCTCGACCAAACACGAGTGAAATAACCATTGCTCTTTTTGCATACGAGACCTGTCAAGTGGGTTCCGGTTACTCGATAAGCATGGTGAGCCTCCCACTTTCAGTACTGGGGCAGTTACTTGTATTGTTACTGACGAGAAAATGGCACCATGCATCTTGCCAAAGAAGCCATATTTTAGGTTTAATCAGAGTTTCGTTTCCTAATGGAAATGTTGAACTTATTCTCATTTTGGGAGAACCTCATGCACCTTTCCAAGCACTACGTTTCTGTACTTATCACCTATGGCCATGATTTTCCCTTTTAGTTTACAAGTGTTGCTAAATATTTTACTACGCATGGGAGTCACTCGATGCCCATATTCTGGGAAGCCTGAATATTAAACGACGTAGTTCTACGACAAAAACAGTCAAAAATTTCATCATCACACATTTGCGATTCAGGCAGAGGCAATTCATTGCACAAAGTGCTGTCAAATCGGAGTCACATCTGTCCGGATCGCAGTCGCGCACCGAGCACAGAGTGACCACTACCGTATGCGCCATAGTCACGTGCTTCACCATCACACAAGTGGGTGCTATGCAAAATTCCATGCTTCGGTTGGTCTCTTGATCTGTTCGTTTACCTTAAGTCGGCCTTTTAGGGACCATCGGCGTTCACAACAATCATGGTCGAATACTATCCCATTCAACACGAATTTATGATAGCATTGGTTTGTTTCTTCTACGAACATTCGTGGTGCGAAGGTGTTCGAAGTGCTCAAACCTTTGAAATTTATTACAGAATTTATCTTCCTCCTGCTTTCACTTCGGTTAACATGTTCTCTACATATTAAACTTAGATTAGTGGTTGCGTCTTCCGTGAAAGGTTTCACCCCGGAATACTTTACTAACTAGGTTGTTCAGAAATTAATTCACGATTTCAACGAATATGCTTAAATCGGAATATCTCTTTTCAGAATAGACTTTATTAGTCGAAATAGGAACGATTAGAACGGGCTCATGCATTTCCATAAAATTTGTGATTCCATAAAACTTTGAAGTTCAAGAAGCGATGAAGTCGTTGAAAGTTTCGTCCTTCGCTTAGTTACTGAAGCGGGAAATTGTAGAGATGCTTGCGGAAGTGATTGCAGGTAGGTCGTCTGGAATACATGGTGGATGAGGTAGAGTTTCGTGGAGCAGCACGCTTAACCTCTGGAGCATCAATAGCACGGCAGATGGCCGCGCATTATCGTAGAGGATCAGTGCGCTCCTTAGCTCTCCATCATGAAATTTCAGTTGGTTTCAGGGAAGTCCGATGGATTGAACTAGCAGAAAACCACCAAATGCTCGGCGTGATCTTCTTTTGGTGGAAATTCGGCTCTAACAAGCGCTGTAGAGCTTCATCGCGCTCCGACCACTGAGCTGATCGTAGCTGGTTGTTGTAGAGTATCCATTTCTCGTCGCAACGCACAATACGGTCGAGAAACGGCTTCGAGTCGTTCTTATTGCGCATAACCATCAACAATATCTCAAAACGGCGGTTTCTTTGTCTGTCATCTAGTTCGTCTGGCATCTATTTGTTTAGCTTATTCGACTTCCCAATTATCTTTGGTTACTCCTAAACAGCTGAAGTGCTTGCACTGAGTTCTCCTGCAAGTTCTCAAAGAGCTCTGCTTGTATTTGCTTCTACCAAAGCCCTTAATTCATCGTCGCCAATAAGAGAAGCATGCAAGCGACCTCCCTCATTTTCAAGCTCGAATTCGTCACGACGAAATTTTCCAGACTCGAATTGTGCATTCGATAACACTTCTTTAGCCGGTCCTATACTCCGCTAATGCTTCAAGTTGTTGGCACAACGTACTTCCAAGTTTGAATTTCTAACAAACGGTAAACTTGCCGAATTCGCTGTTTTGACATCTGAAATTCCAACGTTTAAAATTTGTCAAAACACCATTTATACACTATAATTCAATCGTGCGTTGGAAAACTGCATAAAATGGGCTTTCCAGTGGTATATAATAGTACACCGTTCGAACGGCGCGCGTGGCACAGTGGTCGGAGGCGCCCTGCAGCACACGCGTGGAATCGACCCCAGTGGCTATGGTCCACCAAGCCCTCTATCCCTCCGGGATTGGAGAATTGGTACCAGACTTGCCTGGGAGAATAGCGGCACTGGCTCGATACATCGGTAAGCCACCGCGAGTCATTGTAAAGGCCAGATATGCATTCAATCACCTCCAAACGATGCTTAATGAAGTCGAATGCATGGTGCATCCCACAGGAATTGATCAATGCCGAGCGCTTTATCCTTTCTACACCGTTCGAAAAAGTTTTGTTATACATATGGAGGAATAATTAATTCGGAAATCAAAGGAAATAAGCCGAAAAAAGGAAAGCCGAGGTTAATAGAAAGTCGGTCGTGGGAATTAGAAATCAGGTGTTAATTTCCGAGTAACCTAATACTCCTTTGGTTTTTCTAGTGTTAGGGAAATGCATTCACCGACTTCATTGTTATTGTGGTTCTTGTCTTTGGAAAGCCATTTTTTTTTTGTACTGAAAGCGACATTACCGATGCAACATCCTGTGGTTGGCAATAGCGGATTTTGGGGTGCTGGCTTCGTTCACTGAGACGCGATCAATTGATGAGCATCTGGTCGAAAGCTTTTGAATAGTCCTTCGAAGAATCTATAAAAACTTAGGAGAAGAGTGGGAGAAATGCGGAAGTTCACAGCATTTCAGACTGCTATGACAACAACGATGGTGGTGTTGGGGAAGGCGATGAACTTCGGCTTATTCTGTTTGTCGTCTGCAAACTTTCGTGCTCGGCTCCTGCAGCAGACAAGACGTGACTTTCGGAAAACAAGGATGAGGTCAGTGCCCACTGTTTCTTTGTTCTACGTACAACTCTCATGCGGTGATTAATACCTTCCATTTGAAGGTGGGAAGATGCATCTGACTTCTTCCAGTTACTAACGCAAAATTTTCATGGCTTTCAAGAACGCAAGTATACAAGCTACTACAAAGTTTATTTAATCTCATGAGAGTTGTTGCGCCAGAAGAAAATTATAATTTTAGAAGAAAAATGAAGGCCTGTTTGAGGAGTCAAATTCTCTCAGTTTCGTTTTGAGCTGGGCACCCATCAATCACTTTATACACTGATTGGAGAGGGTGGATTGGATCGACTATTAAAGTTGTTCTGAAACTGGGTGATTTCACGTCTACCTTCGAATAGAAGCATTTTTGAAGGTCATGGTCCGTACTTTGCTCGATATTTACAGAGAAAAGATCTTAATGTTTTTACAAACTGGAAAGTGGAAATTGTGACTTCGTCGACTTCTTTTAAGTTGACCAATTCAATACATTTTTTATATTCGATTTCTTGAGAAAGGATAAAAACGAACAAGATGAGGAGAAATTAAGCCTTTATTCCGACTGATAGCTGCGGCTTTTCGGATGATATCGGATCTGCCCAGCATTCTTTTTACTGTATGGATTCGATGTGAATTCTTGGCCACTTGGATGGCTCGTATTCGGACGGCGCCTAGCAGCGAGAAGCGAAGCACGTTCACAATACGTTTGAAAACCTTCAGGAGCGATCTCTTACTATTCGATTTCCAAACGTCGTTTGAATTCCAAAAAATCGATTGAAAACATTCCAGCCATGCCCGGTATCCTGCTGGCATTTTGGAAACGTTGCTACGCCTCATATACTGAAGACAGCAACTTTTTCAAAAACGACAGTGTACTTTAGTAAAGACGTGACAGCGGCTGCTCGAGGACACCACGAGCAATTAAATCATCTTTTTAAGAAAGTGTGTTAGACTCCAAGTGGGCATTCATTGCTAAGGACAGCAAAATTAGAGGTCCTCATTTCCCCAACACGAAAAGATCCTGCGACTCCACAGGGCTAGGTAAGAAGAGTAGAGAAAGCCGGAGAAAATCTTAGGGGCTTTCTAGGTTTCGTAAATCTTGGGAGACTCTGATACCGTTGGAAGAGAAGGCGGCACTACCACCTGAAGGTGCATAGGTGGCGATCCACACGCTTTGGATCGCCAGGTTCCCAATACCAATGTGGTGCAAAAATCATGGGCATTTTTGGTGACTTCGTGTTTCGCAACTCCACTCATTCAACTTTCGTAGTGTTGGTTTTGAAGCACGTGCTTGGGTGTGGTTCTGCAAAAATGTTGGCCAGGTCTCACTGCCGTCTTTGCAAAATTCTGTTGATTTCATGACATTTTACTTTTTTGTGATTGTTTTGTGAGAGATCACACGTTTTATTAAATGTTTCCATCTTTTGGAAACCTAAAACTCCTCGTAATCTTAACTCTTTTATTTACTGCCTTTTCTTCTTAATGGCAGGTTATGTTGCGAAATATAACTCGTATGAAATGCTGAAATATTTGCAAAACTCCGGACCACAGGTGTATGCAATGGAGAGCGAACACGCGCTGTTGTTCTTACCGGGAAGCAGCGCACTGCACCACTACACCATCCGGGTCCTTCGCTTTGCGTGTATCTCAGCTACTTCTATCAATCTTCTATCGACCCGGATGGTGTAGTGGTGAAGTGCGCTGCTCCCCGGTGAGGACAACAGCGCGTGTTCGTTCTCCATTGCATACACCTGTGGTCCGGAGTTTTGCAAATATCTCAGCATTTCATACGAGTTATACTCCTCGTAATCTCCTTTGGAAAAGGTCTGGGAGCTCCATCTTTTTCAATCCGTCGTCCTTTGTTGTATCAGATGCAATTTTCATTGCCCTTCAACATGCGATCGGGAAATGGGTGTTTTTGCTGCGCAAAAGAAGGATAGAGCGAAGCAAAAATCTCGCCGTGATTTGTCCATTGCTTGTTCATCGAGATTTTTCGTCCTGCTAATGTCTTCAAAATGACGAACGATTGTCTCATCGCGAGTGCTGAGCTTTCCTACGATTTCCTACGAGCTTTCCTACGAGCAAGGGCAGCTTCGATTGGCGCCTTCAGACGATCGTCAGTTGTTGATGCGCTGACTTGGCTTTCTCTACCATGAAGACCTTTGTCTTCGATACGAAACCTTCCAAAGCGTTTTAGTATTTTATGTGCCGAGGTCCTCCTCTTTCCCATTCTTTAATGAAATTTCGGGTTCTAGTCGCCGAAGTGGTGCAGTGGTCGGAGCCACCCTGCTACACACGCGTGGAGTCAATCCGGTACCCATGGCCCACCAAGCTTTCTTCCATCCCTCCAGGGTTGGCAAATTGGTATGAGACTTGTCCGGGAGGAGAGCAGCACTGGCTCGATACATCGGTATTCCACCGTGAGTCATTGTAAAAGCCAGATATGCATTCAATCATCTCCAAGCGATGTTTAATGAAGTCGAATACACTGCGCACTCCTCAGGGATTGATCAACGCCGAGAGCTTTTTCCTTTATCCCTTAATCGCTGATTTATGTCAAAAATTCAGTGCGTGAAGTAAAATGATGCGATTTCCACGCTCTGAGAATATCATTTAATTCACATACAACACAACCGTAGCTGACGTTTCGGCAGAATCGCCTTCTTCAGAGCCTGGAAGGGCACACTAGTACGCAACTTATTAGGTCAAACGCTTCAACAGTGCAAACAGAAGGGTGAAAATCTGAGCGATAATTACAAGATTTATGGCTTCTCGAAAAAACCCACCGCTTTTTTCACCTGTCTTCCACCGAGGAAGAACAGCCTGTCAGAGTCGCACATGGTTGACGACTTCACCTCCACATGTCAACGATCGATACGAAGGTACGGGGCAAGATCATGCGTGATCTCGGGGAATTCCTCCTTGCTATTCATTGTAGGATCTTTGGCATTTATCCAAAAAGCCTCGAGGAGTTTGCTCGTTGCTGTTTTAGGATCCCGTGCGTGGACAGTCACTTTTGTATCAAAATCGTCTCCGCTATGCTTTTGTATCCTATGCCTGCCTAGTGGGGTACTTTCTCTTGCCCTTCGTTTTCCATCTGGGTGTTCTTTTATGCGGATACATAAAGGTCTACCTGTTTCGCCAATATATTCGGCTCCGCAAGTACTACAAGAGATCAGGTATGTCGTACCTGAGCTCGTGCAGTCACCGTCCCTGCCATAAGGGCAAACTACTCAATTCTGTGTTTCACATAGACGGTCGTATAGGCGGTTACGAACTAACTAACGACGAAGGGTATTCGGTGGTATTTCAATTATCGCTACCGATTCCTCTAGATCTGCCCTTTTTAAGTATCTCTTTATCGCTACACTTATTTCTTCGCTAATAAAGGGCAAGATAAACAGGATTTTGTTTCGGCTAAACCGTTCGTTTTGGGGCGTCGCTTCCCTTCTAAACTTATCTCGTGAGGTTACTATTCTAGTGGGTATGGAAGTAAACGTATGCTGTTTAACAACCTCGCGATTGCTGAGAGAGAAAACGACGAATGCATAATCCAATGCCGAGGTTAATAGAAAGCCGATCCTGTGTAATATCATTTAAGCTGATTTAAACTCGATGCAAAAGACAGCTTAAGAAAGTCACTACTTGGAAAATTGATAAGTAAGAAACATACTTTAAACCGGCATCCATTAATACTGCATGCGTCTAATATTTGCTCCAAAATTCACTTACAAATTTCGCAACCTTAAAACGGGCCAATATTCTTGCCTGGACCTGTTGCAAGACCAAGATGATTACCATGCAGATCCTCTACGGAACAGCAGCCATATCCAGTAGAAAAATTAAGAAAATAGTCCACTGGAAAAGACAGTAGCATCTATTTGCCTCTTTCTGTGCTTAAAAGGTATATCGTCAGAATGGTTCTCCATTCAGAAGACCCATGTGCTATCTAGTTGTGTAGTTGTTGAGGAACAGCATAGCATCGTCCGAACACGATTATAGGCGAATATTTAAGAACTTACTCCATATCGACAAACTAGCTTGGCTTTTTATGCTACGAGAATACGAGGTTTCTAAAATGGCGGACCGTATTGCACAAACGGGAGACGTATACGATTGCCAAATGTACAACTTGCTTCTTGTGTGAAAGCTCGCTCGAGTAGTACCGAATGGGACCGCCTTAGCGCGAAGAACAGCCATAGGAGCGAACAGGGTTTCGAAAAAAATTTAGGGACTATGGAGCCTATCCTCGTAACAAAGAAACTCATTTAAGTGTTGCCAATGTACAGAATACTGTTTTATCTCGCATTTTTCGAATTAGAAGCGATTTTCGAACTGATCCAGACAGAAGCAGCCAGTAGTGATCTGGGCAGCCAGGGTGTACCTGAATAACAAACGAAGGTCCTTAATGAGATGGATGTGCAGCAAATTCGCTACCTGGATTTCGTTAAATGTTCTCTAATCTTTCAGCTATATGTTTTTCGTCGACAGTTCAACATGACAAATAACAGCTATCAGGAGGAATCGAGCGGCTTGCGAAGATTACAAGAGCGTGGAAGACGTATCAACGAGGGCAAGCAACATTCATCACCTTGCCATATTTTTTTCTTTGCAGTTCTTGCGGTTGTAACATATGCCTCAGAAACCTTGACTGTAGAAGAGGACAGTAGAAGTTCACATAACGTTCTGGATCTCGTTAGCGGTAAAGTGGTGTTAGGAATATACCGTAGTGAAAGATACCCCAGACCTATATCGACGGTTAGAGATCGAAATGCCGCCTTATACGCCATGATGTCGAAAACAAGTAGGCCGAGTATGTGATTGGCAAAAGCTGTTAGCGATTGAGTGCCACAGGACGTCGAGGGCCAAAACCAAGAAGATTATGAACTAGAGAATTTTGGTAGATACTAGGAGATACAGTACGAAACGTGTCACAGAGCGAATATATCGCATTACAAAACTCTGTTAGGCGATGAGTATAAATGAAGATGTTGTTCGTACCGCCAAAATCATTAGATGAGTAACGATGAGACCGACCCATAATGCAAGACG